GAGTTCAATGACTGGATCCAGTATTTCAAAAGTGCTGACGTCCCCATTCTCAGCCCTCCTGCCCCTGTCTATGACATCATTTACACTCCAACACAGAAACAGGTGAGCGATCACTTCCATCTAGGGCATGGTGTTGAATATCTTAGATACTGCATGTAAATGCTGTGAGATATTCACTTTCTCCTCCATTACTCTCAGGCTCCAGAGTTTGACAGGTGGAGCGGCAGCAGCCATGGAGCTACCGACCCACTAAGGCAGTCCCAGGACAAACGCAGATCCCATGAGCTCCAGCTGCCCAGTGCCGATGACAACCCTATTTCCCCTGGTTATGCTGAGCCTCACTGTGTAAGTGTCTATCTCAACAACCCAAACTCATTAACATTAAGCTGTGAACATATTTGCACATCCGCAATGGGTTTTCCTAGTTTTCCAGGTGAACTGCTCTTGCATTGTTTAATTTCATATCTAGAATGAAATTGGGTTAGGCAGTGGTTATCCACAGATTTAAAATATGGGGCATTATTCATAAGAATGACTTTCATGTTTATTTTGGAGGAGCAGCACATGTGGTTGTGAACAAGATCAGCAGTGTTTCAGTTGGGCTGTTAATAATTAACATGTGTGCAATCAATTTCCATCTGTTACCACCTACAAGACTCTTGTGGATTAGTACTAAACACTATTTACCAAGTATCCTCCAAAAGTATCCATAATACTTTCTTTATTCTAGTTTTTCAAACTCTTAAAAATAACTTTAAAAAACTCTTTTACTTTTAAAATCACATTTGAGATTTACACATACACAACCCAACAATTTACTCTGTAAAGTTAAATATTTTTGATTGAAACAGAAAAAATGTACGACTAGAACTTTTTAGCACTAGATTCAATCCACTGAAATTGATTGGATTGTAGAAAGTTGTCGAACAGAGTACAAAGTTTGTTGTAATCTAGTAGAAGAATGTGAAAACAGTCCAGTTAATCAGTTTCTGTGTTGTGTGTGTTGGTACAGTTCATTTCCAGCAGGCCTAACTCTTCAGACACACAGTACTCAGCTCACCTGGGCAGCAGGAGCAGCAGCTTCTCCTCTCGTGTCCGACCGGC